GGGGATGGCCTGGGCGGCCTGGCTACAAACATTGCGCACCAAAACATGCAGCCCCGGCCCGGCATGGTGCTGCCTGGAATGCGCTTGAAGGACTGGATGCTTGAATGCCCTGGCCCTGGCCATCAGGAGATTTACGACTCCGACTCTTCTTGGATTTGCCGCAGCACTTGCGTGCTATTCGCAGTCGGGTGTCGCCTCTTTTACATGAGCGGGATTGAGTGGGTCCACGCCACGAGGTGCGCATGCGCATCTCTCTCCACGATCATTGCGAAAGGCCGGATGGACTTCCAGTCAGAAAGTGTCCGGTTCACCAAGCTGCAGGCCGCGGGCAACATTCAAGAAGCTTGATGTGGGAAGGCGGCATACGTCCTTTTCCAACTTGCGACAGGCCGTCCCCTGCAGGGAGTGCGAACAAGCTTCTAGCAGAGAAGTGTTTTGCAAGAGCGAGAACAAGCTTCTGTCGGGGAAGTGTGTATCAAGCTGTCGGAGACCTTTTGCCATGTAGTACTGCGGGAGCAGCTTGCATCAGTGTATTTCGAGAATCTCAGTGGCGTGTCCGTCTATCGGCTTAAAAGCAAGGAAAACAGAATTAATGAACCACCAATCGCAAGTGCTTGATTTTTCTGTGCCGCCATGCCTTCTTGGCAGGATGATGGTAAAAACTGAGACTTAGCTTTGTCCACCGCCATCATTACCCTCTGTTGCTGCTCCGTGCCAGGCTTTTGGCTCCCCAGTTTCTTTCAATGAGTGTGAGAAGTTGAGGCGTGCAGAACTTGAGCCACGCTTGGCTCCCGAGTGATTTGGCGACGTCTTTTGCGAGCTTTTGGCGCAGCTTTTCCGAGTCTTACGTGAGTCGCATGTGTATCTTTGGCCATCGTAATGTTCACGACTTGTTGTTGGCCCTGGCCACGTCGAACCTCTCCTGCATGGCCTCTCGCGCAACCTTTTCACAGCTTGTGCGTTCTGCATGCTCGGACCCACCAACTTTATGGAGTACTTGCACACAGCCTGCTTTGGGTTTCGCATCTTGATGGTACCCTGCCTCGGTCAGGCCAGCCTTTCAACGAATTTGCCATGCAGTACTGCAGGAGCACCAAGCAACAGCTTATGTCGAGAACTTCAGTGGCGTGTCCGTACAGCTTGGCAAGCGAGACGCGCGCGAATTCAGTTGCACAAGCTATTCGAACCATGGTAGGTAGCAACTCAGCAAGAGTTGATATGCCAACCTGCTAGATTGCTAAATGAGTTAAGTTGTGCGGGCAACAGTGCGCACCACCCTTGCCCTTTCCGTCGACTGGAAAACGCAGGGCGGTGGGCTTCGCGACTCCGTCTCGGCTGGGCCCAGCGACTTTCAACGCACACAAATTGGGTCCAGCGACTTCGAACGAACACAAGTTGCGCATCATCGTTCATGGCTTGTAGCAGTATGGCAAGTTTGATGGCATACCGCAGCCTTGGCATGCCGCACGCAGAGCAGCGGTAGAGGATTGCGATGTTTCAACCGCACTTGGGTCGCACCTGCTCAGAGGTTCTCGGCGACAGATTCAGCAGCCGCGTTCTCCTCGTTTTACCGTGGTCATTTGCACCCCGAGAAGAGCACATCACCTGTCAGCCAAGTCAGCCACAGCAACGACACGCACAGATACACTCGGTAGAAGGAGGCAGATGACATGGTTGCTCTGCCCGCTTTGCATTCACGCGCCTGGGCTGTAAGTCGAAACTAAGTATACGAGGGGGATGTCTTGTGCATTCCAACGTGCTGGAAGAAAGAGAAACGAACCCTGCACGGCTTGGGCACCTCTCAGAGGCTTACTCCAGGTGCGTCGCATGACAACTGGATAAGCAACCAGGAGTAGGGGTCCCCGCAATGCCACACACAAGGGCAGATTTGTGTCAGAACAGAGCTGAATCAATCGTTTACAATGCAATGTAAGTTTCGTGAAGCAGAAGCACTGAAACGGCGGCGATCCCATATTTGTAGGTCAGGATCGTCGACTCTTTTCATCATCAGCTGCCATCCGAAGTAGCTATGAGCCGGCAGGCGGCGGCGTTTTAGCCTTCCAGTGCTTGTGAACCCTCCGCTGCCTCGTTGATCCCAGCATGCCCCAGGTTGCATCACCCCTTGCCGCCCTTGCCTGTTTGCCAGGAGTGCACGAGATGAAGGAAATCAATGAACTGTTGTCGCCTTCACACAGTATCTCGGCGGAATCCGTGATGATCGCAAGTGCGGTTGCTTGTCTGTTCTCCGCATTGAGGCACCGGTGGTTGTAGAGATCAGAAGATCTTGTCAGAGCAGGCGCGGCCCAGCAGAAATGTTCACCATCCAGCTTTGAGTACGAATCTTCGCAGTGTGTCGCATAGACATTCTCATTTAGATGCGCTCAGAGATGGATCTGAAACGTCCGACAGATACAAGGCTGTAGCATCCCTCAGAAGCTCCAGTACCGTCAGGTGGGTGATCGGAATGCTACGGGAGGAGCCATCCTCTTCCAAATTTACGAGACCATGGTGAAGCCGCAATTGCAGCATGCTCAGCCGCAGCGCTGTATGCTTCCAGCATTCCAGCAGTTGGATCTACACTTGCCTGAGAAGCGCAGCTTGAGAAGCCGAGCGTCTGCTCATCACGAGCTCCCAGGAAGAGGTTCCGGATTGTGTCGAACGCAGCTCTGTGCGACTAAAGAGAGACTCGAGGCCGATTGAATGTGGAGAAGCACAGACTACTGAGACCGCCGTAACGAATTTCTGAGGATCTGTGAAGAGACTGGTGACGGCAGAACTTGCATCGTGATGGTGTGAAGATGACAGGGAAACGGACACCTGTATTCTGTGTGGGACTCTTGATACTCTTGGTAGCTGTCTGGAGGACTGGTCGTTCGGTGTTACGCACTCATAAAAGTTGAACGTGTGTGATCGTGTCGGAACCCTTGAGAAGCTTGGTCCTGCACTCGGCGGGAGGAGCATGTTTGTGACGTTCGTGACTGGCTCTCTCATTGGGGCTTCAGATGCTTGCCCCTGCAGCTTGCCGACACGCAATTCATTTCAATCTGAAAAACATGTAGCCTTCCATGGTCGTGAGCAGGAGTGGGCGGGGTAAATTCACGTGTAGAGTTTCACGCACCAAATCCTTGATCGAAGCCTTGCCTCAAGGCTTGTGACCCGGACCTCCGGCGTTTCGCGTATGCGAAACCAACTTCCAGTTTTGGAAAGGTCTCTCGTATAGTATGGCAGGTTGCGGGATGTCACTTGAAATTTAAGAAACTTGAAAACATGCCGAATAGAACTTGAACAATTGTCGCTTCTTGGATTCCCTTAAACCCAAAACGAAGCAAACAACAAGCACAAACAAGCCAAACAAGTCAAGCATCATGGATTCTGCTTAACGGCTAAACCCAAACATGAAACCTAGCGCATCCATGCCCAAAACCGAATGACGTCCATGGCCACGGTCTACTGCGTTTGAGAACAGAGCATCCATGCCCGTCCATGGTCCACTGCGTTTTCGGTTGAGAGCATCCATGCCCAGAACCTCATGACGTCCATGGCCGACTGCGTCTTCGGTTGAGACCATCCTTGCCAATAGTCTGATGACGTCCACGGTCTACTGCGTTTTCGGATGAGAGCATCCATGCCGAAAGCCCAGAAACGTCCATGGTCTACTGCGTTTTTGCTGATGTACACCGACATCAATCGAATTTGGGGATGCCATGATAAAGCGCACTGGTGTTTCTTCTCCGTTCAACTCAAGTGACGAAAGTTGGAAGTCTGAGCACTGCTGAGATGTACAAGTTTGCTGTGCTACTGTTTCCTTCCACACAGCGCTTGCTGGCTGTAAGTGTAAAGCTGTGCATGACCCAAGGGGATTTTACGTAGCCTTCCGTATGGGCCAAGAAGCAACATCATGCTCGCGAATCTCTTCACTACTCAGGCTGCACATCGCAACAAACTGGATCTGTCCGCATCAACACTCCTCCTCTGGGCCTTCGGAAGGAGAGCCCAGCACCTTTCATAGTCGATCCCAGTTCTTGATGGTCCTTGAAGCTGCCTGGCGATCCGCTATGTTGCTCCACGAGAGCAAGGTTCGACCTTGCAGGTTTCGGTGGCGCCAAAGCCACAACAAGTATTTGTATTGCCTGACCGTAGGAAGAAATGCCTGGCCATATGTAGATGCCATTGCTCCTCCAAGTCGTGCCGCAAGATCTCCCTTCAATCCTGATGTTTGAAGACCGTTAACACGCAAAGCTTCCCGGAGCTCCTCGCATCTCATCAGTCCAGCTAAGTCAACGTTCACTCTTAGGACTTCGGTAGGATCGTCGCCTCCTTGGCTTGGCGTAGGGGAGAGCAGCATCGGCCGGTGGTTCTCGTCGGACTGCTCTCTTCCTCTTGGGGGCTGTGACCTTGGGGGTGTTGTAACCCTCATGGTGGACGGTTGCGATATGGGCGACCTCCTCAGACTCGTAGGCGTACTCGTTGTCGTGATGGGGTTGTTCCCCACCGTAGGTTCGACAGCAGCTTCAGCGCGTATGCGCTCCAGCTCTCGTTCGATCGCCTGCGTCGTAGCATCTCTCAATTTGCGAAGCTTCCTCAACTTCCGTTTGGAAGCTCCGGGAAGCCACTCTTGCGAGAGCTCTGCCACGATCCATTTCAGTCCTTCCCATATAACCAGCCCACCCAAAACCATTAGAAGAACCATGAATATTCCAGCCATATCCCAGTCGATCGAGATGCGTGGTTCTCGGTCAGGTTGCCCCGATGCCATTGTCGCCATCAAGCAACATATAGTAGCCACCAGCATTTTGTCCGAAACTGCGGCTGTGCTTTTGACTCCATGACCATGAACCGGAACTCCATCGCCAATCATGCTCCATCGTTGTAGTAGATCTCGTATTCGCTGCCCCGCCAGTGCCTTGGTTAGCAGGTCAGCTGGTTGGACCAGCCCCGGAACGTGGAAGCCCTCGATTGCGCCTGCGGTGATCATCTCCTGCAACCATGCTGACTTTAGTCTAAGATGACGTGTCCTCCATGAGCCGTTCCCTGCACTGATGGTCAGTGCAGACAATCCTCCTCACCTCAATCTCCTCCGAGAGGTCCACCAAGAGGGTCTCTATCCCCAACAAAGCCACGGCGCCTTCAAGGATGGCTGTCAGCTCTGCTTCCGCCGTTGACAGCGCTATGGTTGGCTGGCGCGACGATCGCCATGCAATGGGGTTCTTTCCCCATACCACCAACCACCCTGTATGGCTTCTTTCACTCTCCGGCGCGAAGGCGGCGTCGGGGAACATTGTGAGGGTGTTGTCTCCCTTCCGAAAGGCCATGCGCCACGTTTTGGTGCCATATAGGTACCTGATCATCTTTGTTCCCACCTCCACCGCTCGGTACGGGGCTTTAAGGGTAAGCGAGGACAACAATGAGCATCCATACGACAGGTCTGGCCGGGTCTTCTGGGATATCCACAACAACTCTCCTGTGACCCGCTGAGCCTGAGCAATGCCACCCTCATCTGCTTCCATGTCCCCGTCCATCACGCTGAAGCTTGCGGTCTCCTTGCTTACAGGGATCTTGTCGGGCTTCTGGACGCCATAGTTGCGACACAACTCCTCGATGTAGGCTTGCTGTCCCACCAGAATCATTGACTCATCGTCGGTCATAGACAGCTCCATCCCAAGGAACCTGAGTGGATTATCCCGTCGCAAAAAGGTCAACGGACTTGTAGCCCATACACTCTGTACCAGATTGGCCACTTCCATCACCGCGTCCTCCAGCCCAATGATTAGCATGTCATCAACGTATATGATGATCAGCGCCTTCATGTCTCCCGACTCGTCTGTAACCACCCACCAACATGTTACGGTTCTGCCCTGCTTGAGGCGCCACCCAGACGGCGTAACCATGCTAGCCAACGTCCTGTCGCGGTAGGCCGACCAGAGCATTGGTGCCTCCCTCAAACCGTATAGGGCCCTAATCAAGCCCCACAGTTCTTGAGGCAAAGTCAATGATAGCCTCTCCAACACCTTTGGCGGGCAAACCACAATGACTGGATCTCGCGCTGACTCGCCGATCGGGGTGAGGATAAAGGCGGCGACCACGTCGATTAGTGCCACCTGCCAACATCGTGAACGCGACATAGCCAATCCAGCCCGCACAGCCTCCGTAGGAGCCGTTTCACAGTAGTAATCAGACATTGAGCTCGTCGCCATGTTTCCACAAACGACCAGTCGAGCCTTCCTCCGAAACCACGTCTTCTTGTCGGCTGGATCAGCTGCATCGTTCGGCTTGATGGTATAGACCAGCTTGGTTGGTAGACGCTGCACACCCTTCTTCTGGAGCCACAACGCCCTCTCTGGTGTCCCGGGCATTAGTCTTCGGATTGCTACCTCAATGCCCTTGACCTCCTGAGCGATGGCTTCCTTCCACTCATCTAGATGTAGTAGCGCCTCTCGTGGATCCACTGTGTAGGTCACTCTGAGGGGTTCGGTGAGGTTGGCCAGGATCTGCTCCACGTCCTTCGTGTAGGTCACTTCCGTCTTGTTCACTCTAGGAAAGTCCTGACGCAAGCTCCCCTTTGACGAGGTTCCCACTTTGACACATCCCTTTTCCGCTTCGACGAACATTTCCCAATCATCGTCGCTCAAGCTGCCGCCCTCGTCGTTGTCTGTGACCGGCTCCTCCTGGACCTCCACCTTGTCCAACTTGGGGCCTGACTCTGGAACCTTCACAAAGTACTCTGGCAACTGTGACAACGGCGTTGGGTACCCGTAGGAGTCCAGGGCCTTAACGTCTTCATAGGAAAGTTCCCCAGGCTGTCCGGGGTATAGGCTATGAGATTGATGCGAGTTCCCTCCCATGGTAGAACTTCGTGTGCTCGCCTTGGATCTAGCTCCACAGCCCTTCCCTCCTTCATCTCGTGGACCTGTCCATAGTGAACTCGCCCTTGCCTGTCGGCCCGTTGTAGAATATCGCCCACCAGAAGGTCACCAGGTCGTAGCTCCACCCACAACGCTCCACCTCGCTCCGGAGTCCTAATTGGGACTATGTAGTTCTTGGTACTGCTGTCATTGTTCGTGTCCTTGTGGTAGCCCCGATCACAGTCCTTCGAAACCATAATAGAGGTAAAGGTCGCTTCCGGGGAGAACTCCAATATGATCTTGGCCAACAGCGTCCCCAGTTCAGGATGGTCGGGTAGGCCCTTCATCCATCCCACACTCCCACCATGCCTATAAACTCCGAACTTCTTGTCCTCAAAGAAACCAGCCTCGCCAAGCTCTCCAACGAGTTCCGTTGCCTTTGTCACGTCCCAGTCCTCGAGGATAAGCTTTGCCTTGGTTTTAGCATATGCACCCAACTCACTCTCATTGAGGGCCAGAACCTTCATCTCGACGAGCTCCGGCAAAAACCCTCCTCCTGGGCTTAGGTGGGTCTACCACTTCCAACTCTTCTTCGGGAGGTCCTGGGTCATATAGTCGAGCTCTCACATGGAAGGTATGTAGGAAGTGGCCCTTCTTAGCTTCCGACTCCGGAACGTGTACAACATGACCCCCTTCCAGTAGATTGCTGAGTCCAACATAACGGCCTCGAATCCACTTGGTCTCGAAGGCCTTGTCACGTCGACGGGGTCCCTGAGCATCAAAGGCCTTTTCCTTCACCAAGACCGCCGCTCCGTAAGGGGCGATAAGTTTGGACTTCCATCCCAATACTCGTGCCCTCTGCTGAGCCACCGCCATTTCCGCCGCCGTGGGCCACAAAGTCGTAGGCAATGAGCTCCCCAACAACAGTGTCCTCGTTCGGTCCTTGACCCATCGCACCGCCGCCTCTGCGCGCCCATTTCCTTGAGGCACGCCTGCCTCCGACCACGAAGCCTTGATGTGTCGATCTCGTAGCCATCCACGGATGCTGTGACTGAAACACTCTCCACGGTCAGCATGAAACCGATAAGTAGGAAGCCCGTGAGCATCGAGGTAGAGAACAATGTCCTGAATCGCACTTTTCACTTCTGTACCTGCGTTGGTCTTCAGGGCCTTGGCGAACATAAGTACCGTACTCTCAGGAGGTTCGCAGTCTGGACGCAATCCTCCTTCGCGATCGTGCTCGCCAGGGTCTGGTTGATCTTCATCATGCGGAACGCCTTCATCATCACCTGGAAGTGATGGCTCGTATTCCGAACACTCGTAGTCTTTAAGGATCTCCTTCTGCTTCTCGGTAGCCCCGATAAGGCTAGGCTGCTCCACGACTTGATCATCATCATCACCACCTTCACGACCTTGCTCACCTGGCACATCTTCTTTGCTATCACGACCTTGCTCACCTGGCACATCTTCATCAAAAAACGGATCCCACTCTTCACATGGTGGTAGTCGAGAAGGTGCTTCTGTCCCTCTGCTTTGCTCTGGTCCTTCGTCTGGCTTGTGGCTATTGTCCCTCTCTTCACGTGGTGGTAGTTGAGAAGGTGCTTCTGGCCCTTTGCTTTGCTCTGGTCCAGTGCTTGGCTTGTGGCTATTGTCCCTCTCTTCACGTGGTGGTAGTTGAGAAGGTGCTTCTGGCCCTTTGCTTTGCTCTGGTCCAGTGCTTGGCTTGTGGCTGTTGTCCCTCTCTTCACGTGGTGGTAGTTGAGAAGGTGCTTCTGGCCCTTTGCTTTGCTCTGGTCCATTGCTTGTGTTTTCAACGTCCAAGGGATCTTGAAGACCATCATCCTCAGGTGGTTTTCGGCCACTATAAGACTTCACGAACTCCTTCGGCAGAGTGTACTTGCCCACCATCAAGTAGCGGAGCCCCTTACCCTGAGTGCCCTTCGAAGTGCAGTCCAAACCCGGCTTCACTGGCCCAGCGATGTCAATCGTGAGGGTGAACATATCCGGATGACGAACTCGAGCGTGTCGACGCCCCGTTCCTCGGGCCAAAACACATGTTAGGCATTCCCGGTTGTAGTCGAGGTGGTTGTTATCGACGTGCGTTTTCCATTGTGCTGCCGTCATAGGACACAATCGCGGGGTAGTAGCGGGATGTCTTCTCCAGAACGTCATCGCCATCACCACGGCCTTTGTAAGACCCTCCGACCAGGTCCCACTCGTGTCGCTCCCTGCCCCTAGGTTCGCAACCTTGGCTTACATGCGAAAGCGACCCGCTGATGATGCGACGCTCGCAGAGTGCGCACGCGTGATGTGTTCGTTGCTTGGGGATCATGGCTGGGCACACCAACTCACTGCCACAGCCTATATGGCAATAGCAGCAGCAAAAGATTCTGCATTGAAGTCAGTAGGCTCCATGGAATATTGAGCAACTGTTGATGGAGGAAATCTTGCACCAGTTTAAGTGGCCAAGCCAAGCAGACACCCCACGCCCCCTTTTTAACATTGACCGGTGATCCTCGGAAGTGCCGTGGGTTCCAATGACAAAAATCTTGCACCACCTCCGTATCCATCATCTTCAATGTTAAAAGGGGGTGCGGGGTTATGCTCAAGCGTCGTGTCACCTGTTACTAGGCAGATGGTGCAAGATTTCCTCCATCAACCGACAGGATCCTTCTTGCTGAGATGACCCAAGTAGCCTGTGTCGTCGCTCGACTGTACCACGCTTCCTGTGACGGGTACCATCCACATGCAGACCAAGCCCGATACATGTCCAAGAATGCGATACGGCAAGCTTGTTGGCACGGCTGGTTGCTACAGGTACGACCCAAGACCACACAAGCCGACTGTGGTTGCAGGCTTCCAGGATGCGACGTTTTTTGCACCCTGACCCTGGTGCTCCACTTCGATCCAAGCCTGCTCCATGCAGCTCCGCGGCACTCCGGTGGGACTCCCACTGGCGAGCTCCTCGTGTATTCTGGCTTAGTGTAAATCCCTTACATTTCCCACAGTTAACGCTCAGTTAACATTCAGTTAACACTCAGTCAACACTACAGTTAACACTACAGTTAACACTGCCGAAATGCTGGGAAAACCGGCATTTTCGTCAAATGTGTATATAAGACACTAAAACTAGCAGTTTTTCTTTTCAAAATGCGTGTATTCTGCAAAATGCTGGTTTTTGCGGCATTTCGGCAGTGTTAACTGTAGTGTTAACTGTAGTGTTAACTGAGTGTTAACTGAGTGTTAACTGTAGAAAAGGCACACTATGCAGTTAACACTTATTACTCTGCCGAAATGCAAGGAAAACCTGCGTTTCCTAAAATCTGTCTTACAAGTACCTCGGTCCTTGACACACAGTGACACACCGACACACATGGTGAGATGGTGAGGGATCGATATTGTGGCTTGTCATCACTTGCATATTGCTTACTGTGACAACAGTTTAAGGTACCGACAGGATCCTTCTTGCTGAGATCACCCAAGTAGCCTGTGTCGTCACTCGACTGTACCACGCTTCCTGTGACGGGTACCATCCACATGCAGACCAAGCCCTATACATGTCCAAGAATGCGATACGGCAAGCTTGTTGGCACGGCTGGTTGCTATAGGTACGACCCAAGACCACGCAAGCCGACTGTGGTAGCAGGCTTCCAGGATGCGACTTTTTTTGCACCCTGACCCGGGTGCTCCACCTCGATCCAAGTCTGCTCCATGCAGCTCCGCGGCACTCCGGTGGGACTCCCACTGGCGAGCTCCTCGTGTATTCTGGCTTAGTGTAAATTCCTTACATTTCCCACAGTTAACGCTCAGTTAACACTCAGTTAACACTCAGTTAACACTACAGTTAACACTACAGTTAACACTGCCGAAATGCTGGGAAAACCAGCATTTTCGTCAAATGTGTATAAAAGACACTAGAACTAGCAGTTTTTCTTTTCAAAACGCGTGTATTCTGCAAAATGCTGGTTTTTGCGGCATTTCGGCAGTGTTAACTGTAGTGTTAACTGTAGTGTTAACTGAGTGTTAACTGAGTGTTAACTGTAGAAAAGGCACACTATGCAGTTAACACTTGTTACTCTGCCGAAATGCAAGGAAAACCTGCGTTTCCTAAAATCTGTCTTACAAGTACCTCGGTCCTTGACACACTGTGACACACCGACACACATGGTGAGATGGTGAGGGATCGATATTGTGGCTTGTCATCACTTGCATATTGCTTACTGTGACAACAGTTGAAGGTACGACAGGATCCTTCTTGCTGAGATGACCCAAGTAGCCTGTGTCGTCGCTCGACTGTACCACGCTTCGTGTGACGGGTACCATCCACATGCAGACCAAGCCCGGTACATGTCCAAGAATGCGATACGGCAAGCTTGTTGGCACGGCTGGTTGCTACAGGTACGACCCAAGACCACACAAGCCGACTGTGGTTGCAGGCTTCCAGGATGCGACGTTTTTTGCACCCTGACCCTGGTGCTCCACTTCGATCCAAGCCTGCTCCATGCAGCTCCGCGGCACTCCGGTGGGACTCCCACTGGCGAGCTCCTCGTGTATTCTGGCTTAGTGTAAATCCCTTACATTTCCCACAGTTAACGCTCAGTTAACATTCAGTTAACACTCAGTCAACACTACAGTTAACACTACAGTTAACACTGCCGAAATGCTGGGAAAACCGGCATTTTCGTCAAATGTGTATATAAGACACTAAAACTAGCAGTTTTTCTTTTCAAAATGCGTGTATTCTGCAAAATGCTGGTTTTTGCGGCATTTCGGCAGTGTTAACTGTAGTGTTAACTGTAGTGTTAACTGAGTTTTAACTGAGTGTTAACTGTAGAAAAGGCACACTATGCAGTTAACACTTATTACTCTGCCGAAATGCAAGGAAAACCTGCGTTTCCTAAAATCTGTCTTACAAGTACCTCGGTCCTTGACACACAGTGACACCCCGACACACATGGTGAGATGGTGAGGGATCGATATTGTGGCTTGTCATCACTTGCATACTGCTTACTGTGACGACAGTGTAAGGTACTACAGGATCCTTCTCGCTGAGACAAAGTAGCCTGTGTCTTCAATCGACTGTACCACGCATCCTGTGACGGGTACCATCCACATGCAGACCAAGCCCGATACATGTCCAAGAAAGCGATACGGCAAGCTTGTTGGCACCGCTGCGTGCTATAGGTACGGCCCAAGACCACACAAGCCGACTGTGGTTGCAGGCTTCCAGGATGCGACTTTTTTTAGCACCCTGACCCGGGTACTCCACTTCGATCCAAGCCTGCTCCATGCCGCTCCGCGGCACTCCGGTGGTGGGACTCCCACAGCTCCTCGTGTATTTTGGCTTAGTGTAAAATCCTTACATTTCCCACAGTTAATGCTCAGTTAACACTCAGTTAACACTCAGTTAACACTCAGTTAACACTACAGTTAACACTACAGTTAACACTGCCGAAATGCTGCAAAAACCAGCATTTTCTTCAAATGTGTATAAAAGACACTAAAACTACCAGTTTTTCTTTTTTAAAATGCATGTATTCTGCAAAATGCTGGTTTTTGCGGCATTTCGGCAGTGTTAACTGTAGTGTTAACTGTAGTGTTAACTGAGTGTTAACTGAGTGTTAACTGTAGAAACGGCACGCTATGCAGTTAACACTTATTACTCTGCCGAAATGCAAGGAAAACCTGCGTTTCCTAAAATCTGTCTTACAAGTACCTCGGTCCTTGACACACAGTGACATACCGACACACATGGTGAGATGGTGAGGGATCGATATTGTGGCTTGTCATCACTTGCATATTGCTTACTGTGACAACAGTTTAAGGTCGCTAACAGGATCCTTCTCGCTGAACCAAAGGATCGCTGTGTCTTCAATCGACTGTACCACGCATCCTGTGACGGGTACCATCCCACATGCAGACCAACCCGATATCATTTCGCAAGAAAGGGCGATACGGCAGCTTGTTGGGCACCGCTGCGTGCTAAGTACGGCCCAAGACCACACAAGCCGACTGTGGTTGTCAGGCTTCCAGAATGGCGACTTTTTTGTTTTAGCACCCTGACCGGGTACTCCACTGCGATTCCAACCTTCTCCAGTGCAGCTCGCGGCACTCCGGTGGTGGGACTCCCACATCCCTCGTGTAAATTCTGGCTTAGTATAAATTCCTTACATTTCCCACAGTTAACGCTCAGTTAACACTCAGTTAACACTCAGTTAACACTACAGTTAACACTGCCGAAATGCTGGGAAAACCAGCATTTTCGTCAAATGTGTATAAAAGACACTAGAACTAGCAGTTTTTCTTTTCAAAACGCGTGTATTCTGCAAAATGCTGGTTTTTGGGGCATTTCGGCAGTGTTAACTGTAGTGTTAACTGTAGTGTTAACTGAGTGTTAACTGAGTGTTAACTGTAGAAACGGCACACTATGCAGTTAACACTTATTACTCTGCCGAAACGCAAGGAAAACCTGCCTTTAGTACCCCGGTCCTTGACACACAGTGACACACCGACACACATGGTGAGATGGTGAGGGATCGATATTGTGGCTTGTCATCACTTGCATACTGCTTACTGTGACGACAGTGTAAGGTACTGTTGATGGAGGAAATCTTGCACCAGTTTAATAGGCCAAGCCAAGCAGACACCCCACTCCCCCTTTTTAACATTGACCGGTGATCCTCGGAAGTGCCGTGGGTTCCAATGACAAAATCTTGCACCACCTCGGTATCCATCATCTTCAATGTTAAAAAGGGGGTGCGGGGTTATGCTGAAGTGTCGTGTCACCTGTTACTAGGCAGATGGTGCAAGATTTCCTCCATCAACCGACAGGATCCTTCTCG